TGGCCCCAAGTTGGCCTATGTTGGCCCTATGTTGAGCCATCTTGGAGGCTATGTTGGGCATATGTTGGGGATATATTGGCTATCTTGGGCCTATGCTGGGGATATGTTAGGCGATTTATGTTGAAAAAATCTTCCGATACAACTTTTTACGATTTTTTCCTTCCCGCAAAGCAAAAACCATGAAAAAACCTAGGTTTTTGACACCGCCCAGATGAAATTCTCGGCTGCCGAGGGGCCCGAAACCCTGTAAAACACAGTGTTTTTTATACCTCACACACACGATACACTGTAAATTACAGGGGCTTCAGTTGACCGGTCGTCCCCCCGTTTTGATGACGAGGGTCGGCGGTGGGTCGGCGGCAGGGGGCGCGCCCGTCTATAACCTTCGGTTACCACCGAAGGCCCTCCGGGCAGGGCACGGGCTTCGTGGCCGGCGCCCGGATTTACCAGGCTAGCGCCTGCAGCTGCCGACCCCCAGGGGCCAGACCACAGGCAGCCAAATGGGGAACCCTAAAAACAACACGGAACCCCTAGAGACATGATCTGTCACTGCATCACCAAAGTAGGCAGAAGAGAGCACGGCAAATGGGTTAGCATTTTTCTTTGAAAATCTGGGAACCCAAAAAACAACACGGAGCCCCTAGACAACCACAGAACTACCTAGAAAAGCCAGAGAAAATCCTGGAAAAACCCTCGAAAAAGTAAATCTAAAAAACCTTTGAAATCCTAGAAATCCAGCGGAAAACGTTACAAAGTCTAGGAAAAACCAAGGGCACTGGCAGGGACCAGGCCGCGACCAGCCCGGAATTCGAGCCCGGGACCATTTAGGGATTATTTTCCCGCGCGGGTGGAGAGGGTGCTCCAAGATGTAAATATTTGGGATGGAGAAATCTTGGACAAATCCAAGGCTCCGGAGGGGTAGGGGGTATAGCCTTAATCATAGCCTTAGCCTCAATCATAGCCTTAGCCTTAATCGTAGCCTTAGCCTTAATCATAGCCTTAGTAGCCTTAGCCTTAATCATAGCCTTAGCCTTAATCAACAGTCACGCCTGACCCTACGAGTGGGGTCGGCGGATTCTTGCGAAACGAGCTGGATGGGCAAAGTAAACTGTTGGGGTTGGGGTTGGAATTTTGCGGTTGTTGGGGTCGATGATGTTTGGTTGATGTGATTGTTGGGAATTGTTGGACGATTCGACGATTATGTTGCTTCAATGTTTGGGTTGTGAGGTTGGAAGAAGGGCACGGCCGCACCTAACCCTTTCGAGGTCCAGGTACAGTCAGAAATGGGCTGGAGACAGACAGTCACACGCTTTCAGACAGTCACACGCCAGACCTTTGGTTATGTGGTCTCTTCAATGTGGAGCATCGTCGCTGGCGGCTCAGTTCCTGACTTCCATCGCAAACGTCGAACGTCAAAGGCTGCAAACCCGATCCTTCAGCATGGTTTCTGATGGCCATGGTCCATGGTCAAGCATTGCATTTGGGCACCTTTTTTAAACACCAGACCCTGAGAGCAAAAGGGTGGTTCTTCGGCATGGCCAAGCAGCTCTTTGACACGAACGGTACATGGCCGGCATGGCTTTGTGATGCGCATCGCCCAGTCGGGTGGCCGGCAGTGCTGCTCCATGCGGGATCGCGGTCGAAAGGAAGACATGGAGGCGGGCGGTCTTGTGCGCATTGTGCTCGTCCGGGCATGCTCGTCTCGTCCAACAAAAGACAAGGAGAGACAAGGCCCAGGAATTCCACGCAGTTTCTCACCCACATGGTGTGATGGCATGGCCTTTGGCAAGACGACTTTCCTTTCCAAATAGGAGGTGAAGTCCACTTCCATGTTAGTTGTAGTGCCCCGTGCACCTTCGCCAGGCCGCCAAGCGAGCTGCACTCACCGGTCGGCCGCCTCCCAAGGGCCGGGGGGGCCCAGCACATCTGGCTTGTCATGGCTGATCTGCTTGTGATCAAGGAGTTGTTCCAGTAGTGGTCGAGGAAACCAACGGTTCAGTGGTCGAACCAGTGTGGTTCGGTCAACGGTTGACATCCGTGAAACATCGATCTCTTTGGGGACGTTGATCGATCTCCGTTCGATTCCTTTCGGCGCTTGCTTGGCCGCCCTAACCCGGCGTTGATCGATCAGGCATTTTCTTGGTGGATCTTTTGGTCCAAGCACGGCTGATCTTAAACCAACCCTGCAAGGTGAAGGTTCGAGAAAAAGACGAGACGAAGCTCCAGCAAATGGAACAACAGCTGGGAACTCCGATTTCCAGAAGCAATGCAACCTGTCATTTAGTTCAGACGACATGGATGCAGGAGATTCGACCGATGATGGTTCAGCAACATTGCACAGGATGCGCAAGACCAAGACCAACTCTGAAGTCGCTGATAATCACCAAATGATCTGGCAACAGAGGCCCTAAGTCTAATCCGTTCGAGGCTGATCCTCCAAAATCGGAACTTGGTGCCATGGCCACCATCCAGGATGAGCTTTTTCGACATCCGCAGGTGGGACCTCTCCATATTTTGATATTGTATGCTTGTACCTCAAAGATGGACCTACATACCACTGCCCGATCTGGCCATGTAGGTGCAAGTCGACACGTCACAACTGTGAACAATAACAGCAGCGTAGCCACTCATTGGAGGCGACAGCGCGACTCTAGTCACATTGAGTTCAAGCAGATTGCAGGTTCAAGCCTCCCTCCGCAATGCTGGTGAGAAGGCCGGGCGTACGACACAGCGGGCGTAAGACACTTCCGGTTGCTGTGTTCGACAACCGGTTCTACAACCGATGATCGGAGGGCAGCAGAGTCCAAGATGGTCCAGTCGTGTGCCATGTGTTCGAAACTGAAAAAAGTTGACTGAAAAGTCCACGGGACCAGGCCCTGAATGATCCACAAGTGCAAAGCGCTCTGGTCCAAGCTGCCCAGGCCTGGCGGCCTGGGGATGAACCCATCACCGGGAACCCTCCTGCTCGTGATGTGTTGCATCAAGAAGAATTCCTTTTGAAAAGGCCTTATATAAGGATATTATAAGGCTTATATACATCTCCCTTTTGGAAGGTCTTGGACTTCACGTACTTTCTTATGTTAGAAACCATTTTTCTTGCACCCGGGGAATTTTTTTTGGGCCGTTGATGGCCGTTTGGTCGCCCAGTAGCCTGTTTATATTAGGAAAAAAAACAAGAAACACATGAAGACTTCAAAGGTGGGCTTCTCCTTACGCCCAGGAGCATGGGCCAGAGTTGGCCGCTTTAGTGAGAGACCAGGCTGGAGCTCGATCAAAGCAGTGTATGGATGACGGATGATGTCGGTATATGGATGATATGGTAAATTGAAAGGATTTTCTCAGAGATTGTCTCAGGTCCGGTGGTTCGATTCCTATTCTTCAATTCTTCTGATGTTGTCTTTTTAGAATTTTGCTAGACTTTTTAGATGGCTTCGTGAGAGGAACTTCAGGTTCTCTGCGGGACGTGACCGACCCAGGTCAGCACTTGGGCTACGGACCCAGAGGTGCAGAAACGTGCCAAGCACTATGCGAGCGAGGCCGCCAAGGCTGCGGGCCAGGCCGGGACTGCCGGGGTTGACCGAAGTGGTTCCTCTTTCGCTGTCTCTCCAGAGATGTCCTGAAAGAGGTCCTGAGTCTCTTTTTAGTTTCAGATTTGGTTTTAGTTTGTACATGCATCACGTGCATACACTTGTGGACAGGCATTTGTGGAGTTGCCCCAATTTTCATGACATGATGACACCTTAGTACCATGGCGTGGTGCTTTTGGTGCACTGTGTGAAGGGTGTGAAGGGTAGCGCAGACGGTGTGGGTATTGGTTTGCACGCCAGGTGATTTCAAGAGCTGGACAGATGTTTGCTGTGCCTGGACAAAACAAGCGACCACAGACACAGATAACAGACGTGACTTCAAGTTGTTTGCATATGTCTACAGTATATAGATGCTTTGACACCCAGCGTTGAAACACTGGACTCAGACTCAGTGTCTATAGAAGGTCAAAGAAGTGTAGAGGTCTTTCCCACCCAGTGTTGAGCTTTCAAAACGTTGCTGTGGGGTTTCCCTTTCCAAATCCTAGCATGAGTTGCTCTTGAGAAGGCCCCAGGCAGCCTCCCCTGTAAGCTTCTGAAGCAAAAAGACTCAGGAAGTTTCTGCAACCCGCATGGACTTCCCTGAAACATTATCCCGGCAAGAGACCCCACGCAGTGTGTGTGAGGTCTAGAGGTGTAGTAGCAGAAAGTCTAGAGATCTAGACGCATTGAGTGTGAGTGTGAGTGAGAGTGAGTGTGAGAGTGAGTGAGAGTGAGAATGACAGTGAGAGTGAGAATGACAGTGAGAGTGAGAGAGTGAGTGGAGTGAGTGAGTGACTGTGAGTGTGAGTGTGAGTGAGAGTGAGAGTGGGAGAGTGAGAGAGTGAGAGAGTGAGTCAGTGAGTCAGGGGGAATGAGAGTGAGTGAGAGTGAGAGTGAGTGAGAGTGAGTGTGAATGAGAGTGTGGGTGTGAGAGTCAGAGTAGTGTGAGGGAGAGTGTGAGTGTGAGCGTGACCGTGTGTGAGTGTGAGTGTGTGAGAGCGAGAGTGAGAGTGAGAGAGACTGAGAGTGAGAGTGAGCATCTGAAAGCAGTTTAGCTGCGCCTGCCACGAAATCTGCACATCGAGGTTCACAAGGTGCAGTGCCTGCCACGAAATCTGCACCTCGAGGTTCACCAAGCGGTGTGTCTGCCACAATCTCTGCACTTCGAGGTTCACAAAGTGCTGCGCCTGCCACGAAACCTGCAAATGAGCCACGTGTCCAAAAGTCACAATTCACGGCGCCTGTCACGAAATCAGAGCGCCTTGCAGATCACCACCATGTCCAAAGTGCACGAAATCTGCACTTCGAAGTAAAACCACTCCGATCCCTGTCACCTGTCACGAAAAGTCGACTTTGCACCACCAAAGCGCAAGGTTTCCCTTGCGCCTGCCACGAAAAGTGACCGAGTGCGCAGTCGCGACAAGCACCCGCCGCGGCCAAGCAGATTTTGCGAGCCTGCGCATTCGAAATGCACTTCGAGGACTTTGAGAGGCATGAACGTACTGTAAATAGCAGCAAATTAGCCGGACACGGATGCGCGGCACCTCGATTAGACACCGGTGCTTACCACCTACCGTAGGAACCCCTAATGTTTCCACACCGCTTGGGGAAAAACTCGGTTCAGGCTCTGTCTCAAGGCGATTACCAGGTTTTGTGTTTCGTAGTCAGACATGGCTGTGGCAGCTGTGGGTCAAGATATTTGAATTCGACCACCATTTTAAGCATTTTTTGTGGAAACCTGGTTGGAGTTCGTTCAGATGTTTGATCATCGGATCGGCCTTCAACGCTCAACTGCTGCATCTCTTGCTTGAGCACAACGGAGCAAGGATCAGATTGCCCAGGGCCCTGCGGGGCTGCGGGTCTTGGCTTTTTGCGCTGGTGGCACCTCATTGGCGTGCTGTGTGCTGGAGATGCTCCACGTGGAAAGCACTTTGGCTGTGGCTGATGTTCTTTCATGCGATGTTTGGGGCGTCAATCAGACTGAGACAATGATCACTGATCACGATCTTGGGTTCACTGGCTCACATGGGGTCATCAGTTCCCAGGAAGAAAAGGATTGCGGAAATGGCTCACTGACTCAAACCTGGGGGAGAATCCAGTCACCCACCTAGCCCTTTAAGTACCCAGAGAGAGAACCGGCATCTCGCTGGGCTGTGGTGCGTTGCCATCGCTGAGGTGTTTTAATGGGCCCTTCAAGATATGCCCCTGGCCAAGCACTGTGACTGTAAAGTCCTTTGGATGGGCACAGAGACCTGCGACACGTAACCTTGCAGAACTTACTGTACGCTTCATTGTCAATTACCCAGATGTAAGAACATGAGAGAACTACAGAGTCTCGAGCTGCTTGAAAGAGTTTTAGACTTGGGAATCCATTGGAAGCTGCTCAACCCTGACCTGTGACCTCTGCTAAGATCCTGAGTGGCTTCCAGGGCATTTTCGCCGTCACGACGATGCTCTTTGAGATGCCAGCGGATTGGGTGGCCATGGTGCCAGGGGTCACTCACTATCAGGAGCCACTGGGTTGGTCTCCAAGAAGCTCGATGCCAGCTTTCTGCGCTTATGTGGCCCTGCAGGATTTGATCATGGACGAGGCACGCTTCATGACTCGCGCTGGAGGCAAGAGACGGCTTTTTGCGCAAGAGCTTTTGGATGGTCTTGATTCGATACAGCAAACACCTTGCATTGCATTCTAATCAACCCTCAAAAGGAAAGGTTTTCATCTTCCGGATCCGTACCAGGCCGTGGTCTTTTCTACATCTTCCAGGGTGCGATTTGGGCATCTGGGCGCAAACCTTTTTGGGTTTGACGAGAAGCCGCTCCTCACGACGGTTTTGTTTTTTGGTATCCTTTAGGTATACAGGTGGGTTAGGGCCGGTTAGGGGCTGCTGGGGCGGGGCTGCCGTGCAATTCTGGAGTTCTCTTCAAGGATTTTCGGTCTAAGCTCAAAGCTCCTAGTAGCGTCCTTGTTCCTAGTAGTAAGGCCAGGAGCCCCTAGTAGCGATGCCCTTTGTTACTAGTAGCGTCCGTTGTTAAATGCACAATTTAGATAGGTCAACGGTGAACTGGTTGATCGCGCTGGTGTAAATGGGCTGCGAATACTTCCTTCCACAGGTGCCAACCTTCTCTTCACCATCGGTGTTTCCTAATGCTTCCTCACTGGATGATTTTGTAGGAACTCAACCCGAAGGCTAGCTAGCCCAACCTTACATGGAGCATTTGGTTCCCGCTATCCTGCCGACTAATCAGGTGCCGAAAGCACCTGCTCGTTGTAGTGTGCGATCCCAGCCAACCCAGCTGTTCCTACCGAGGGCGTCCAAAAACAGGCTCCCCAGCCACCCCAAGGAATCGAATCTTGGCGGACCGGTGCTTGGGTCACCAGGATGGCTCCAACCCCCCTGCAACTCCCTAGATGCATTCCTCAAGGCGACCGAAGGCCTCGAAGAAAGCTTGCCTGCACTCGCAATATATATATATATATATCGTTCACGTGAAGTATCCCGTGAAGCAACAGTTGATGATCCGTTGAAGGCATGTTTCGCCTCCTTGCTCTCTGTGGTACACCTGGCAGCAGCTGCTGCCATGCTCCTGGTGGGCACGCTCCATGTGTTGATGCAGTGCCTCGTTGAAAGGAGTTGACGGGGTGGGTGGGCGGGCCAAAAAGCAGGCATATCGAATGCCACTAACACATACCAACACCCTGTCGCTGGGATCAGTCCATCTCGTGCCCTCCTCAAACAATCCAACAGCACTAGCCTGTTGATGGAGATTGAAACCAGCAGAAATCAGTACTGGTTGTAGATCATCGTTTTCTCGTCACTAGGAATGAGCCGAAGAACTGCAAAGTCAAGGTTTCAATGTTTGCATGGCGGATCACGTGCAGACTTTTCCAAAATGAATTAACTTTGCGCAACAGTCTAAGCATGTCCACGTGGTTCAAATCGCCACTGCTGGTCAAGAACTGGACGTTCCTGTCTTTGATCTTCAAAAACCTGTCAGACTATAGAGATCGGGGAAGGATCTCCTTTTTACGGGCTTCAGCTATAACTCTGCGCGCCAGGTTTGGTATCATGCCACAAAATGTGGCGCAAAAGATACGGGAGAAGACCGGCTACGACCCCGTGCCGCAGCACGAGTAGGAGAGTGGACCGAGAGTGGACCGGTCATATCCATTGGAAATGGCCAATAGCTACGTTCGGTTCGCGCCCGATCCCTCCGTTCGAAGCGGTGCCCTTTGTTACTAGTAGCTTCTTGTTGCTAGTAGTAAGGCCAGGAGCTACTAGTAGCGTCCTTGCTCCTATCAGGTTTGTCTCAATTCCTTGTGACATGGGAGTGGCATTTCAACCAAATGTTCCAAGATATCACATACTTGAGTCCAGTGCGGCCTGAGACACTTGCTGAGCTCTTTGCAAGATTTGTTTTTCTTGCCAAGCACAGCGTGGCCCAATGGTGCCACCCTGAATTTTTTTTTCTTGAGATTTGCATCACGTTTGTGGCCGACTTCTGCCAATTCAGTTTGCACGTGGCATCACGTGGCAATGTCACACCCACAGAGACGCTATCTCACGATTTGTCTCTTTAGACAATTGGAGCTCTGGCAAATCTCAGAATCTGTAAATGGATAATGCAGTGAACTGAAATGGTGATCTGCAATGAGCTTGATTTATCTTCAGAAAAAGGCTTCACACTTGTGACAGTAGACCTTTTGCTATCTCATCAATTGGGTGGTGGAGGTGCCACCATGATCAGCTGGAAATCATGCTTATATATATAATTTGATATCAAAAATATAATATATATATAGTATATATATGTTCCTAGTAGCTTCTTGTTACTACTAGTAAGGCACTTGTTACTAGTAGCGATGCACTTGTTCCTAGTAGCGAACCTTGTTACTACTATATAAAGGAAGATCAGTTTTAAGACATCGCTCTGGCGCAGTGATCCTCTTTTTGTTCGCACCCAGGCGAGATGGAGGCTCGCCCTGACACGCCCTTGGCGGCTCGGGAGATCCAGGCGGAAGCATGCGGAAGCTGTGTTCGGAGAATAGCAAGCTGAAACGATCAGGTAAGCTGCACATACAGACACGGGGGCACAAGATAACTGTCATCTAAGATCAAGCAAGATCAGAACCCTTGCCAGCCCTATCAACATCGACGGCATCCTGCAGCAGACGACTTCGATGAGGGCGAGGAAACGTGGTCAGGGTTGTCCCAACATTCACTCTTCATTGCAGTTTTTTCAGCATTAACGGACAATTTAGAATTCTATTAGAGAACACCAGCGGCTTAGCTGCGACCCTTGCATTCTGCCTGAGGAGCCTCCTTATCTTACCGCTTGGCCCTCAGTCTTCCCAGAAACCAGCATGTCGTTGCATCCTCACAGACAAAGATCAATTATCTGGATCTTTTGTGATTTATGGGGAATCAGCATGAAGTAGCAAGCCAACGGCGGAGTTATCCCAGGAAATGTGGTTTCCGATTGCTGTGATACGCCCTTTCGAGATCTTTCGAGAAGTCGTTGTATGCGTACATTGTCACTATGTGTTTGTATGCTATCGTATGGCGATGTTGTGACTTCGGCGGTTGATTGTGGATACATCTGCCTCCCTCCCTTCTCCAGCTCAGGAGCATGGAAACAGCTTGCATGCTCACCAATCTTTGGGTCCAGTGCCCAACAGGCAGGGGTCCTGCTGCCGTGCTCTTCCCGTACAGACAGGGATGCGCCAAGAATCGAGACCAGCTCTTGCAAGCAAGATCTTCTTGCACATGTGGAATGGAGCGACAAAGAAGACATTAGGTGGAGGCGATTGCTTCTAGCTTGGAGACCGGTCCACAGAGTAAAGCCGTGACGATCATGAGTCCCCAGTCATGCTGTAGAGCCGTGCAGTTCCTTGCCTGACGGCGGGCTGGGGACCTTAGCTACAGTGAGAGGGTACAATGTGAGGGTTATGAATAGGGTAAAACTGTGACCTTGTAGAGAATTGTTCATTTTCAAAGCAACATTGTTTTTTTAAATCTTACTATTACTATTTATATTTTGTTAAACCCTTCAATCAACTAACGTTGTTTGGTCTGTCAAATGAATCGGCTTTGTGTGGCTTTGCCCCCTCAGCGAAATCAACCAGCCTTTCTTAGAGGTAGTTTTCCGAGCAGCCATGCCATCCTGAATCCAGTGGCTTCCGGCTGCACTTGGATTCGAGTGAGGTTCAGAGACGACCCCTTCCTAACTGGCCGGAAATTGCCAGAAGCTGGAGTCTGAGAAGAATTGG